GATATAGTGAATGCGGGGTCCGGGGGGGGGGGGGGGGGGAGAGCGGATAAAATGGGGGGTCCGGGACAGCGGAAAAATAGGAATGCGGGGTTGGGGAGAGGGGATATAGTGAAGCAGGGTCCGGGGAGAGCGGATAAGTGGGGGGGGTTGGGGGGGAGAGCGGATATGTAAAAATTTTCGGGGAGGAGAGCGGATATAGTGAATGCGGGGTCCGGGGGGACACGGAGGAAATGGAATGCGGGGCCCGGGAGAGCGGATATAGTAAATGGGGGGTTTCCGGGACAGCGGATATAGTGAATGCGGGGTTCGGGGAGAGCGGAAATAGTGAATGCGGGATCCGGGGAGAGCGGATATATGAATGCAGGGGCCCGGGAGAGCCGATAGAGTAGACATGCGGGGTCCCGGGGAGACGAGGAATATAGTGCATGGCGGTGTCATCCGGGCACCAGCGGAGATAGTGGAATGCGGGGTCCGGAAGGGCGATATAGTGAATCGCGGTCCGAGGGAGAGTGGATATAGTGAATGCGGGGCTCCGGGGAGACCGATATAGTGAATGCGGGTCCGAGGAGAGCGGATATAGTGGAATGCGGGGTCCCGAGGAGAGCGGAATATAACTGAATGCTGGAGTTTGACTACAGTGATGGGTCCTGTTGTTGTTACTCCATACTTTTGCAGAGAGAAAAAAAACAGCCACATCACTTCTGTCTGTAGAAGATGCCTGTGTTGTTTACCAACATGGAGCTCTCTCTTGTCAGTTTGCTCAGCCAATCAGTGGGTCCCGGCCATAATTTTATTGGGCGGGACCTGCTGATCAGCGTGTTCTGTAGCAAATGTCAGGGAAGTATAAGGTAAAATGTTATTAAACTCTCAGAAGTTAAAATCTGACAGTGCTGCAGCCCCCCATCGACGTTCACCATGCATGCTGTGCGCCTCTCTTTTCCAAATTCTTAGATTTCCCTCTGTAAAGTTTCTCTATTTTTAGGGTATTGTTTTCATGTGGCTTTGTCTCATTATGGAATCCAATGGAGCCACCTTTGTATGAGCACTTTTGGATAGTGGCTGACCTCTTCTCTCTACACTGCATGTGTCCACAGCAGCACATAGACCCAAGTCTAGGGTGGAAAACTGCCCCTCCCCCTCCCTGCAACTGCTCTGTCCTTTCTGATCTATGGAAACAAAAGACCCGGGTGCATGTTCCCTTACTGAGAAGTGTTAGGAAGCATTGCTATGACCTAGAGACTGGAGACTAGAGACTAGAGAGACTGGGAGACTGGAGAATAGAGACTGGAGATTGGAGACTGGAGGCTGAAGAATGGAGACTGGAGATTGGAGACTACAGACTGGAGACTGGGGACTGGGGACTGCTGACTGGAGACTGGAGATTGGAGACTGGAGACTGGAGACTAGAGACTACAGACTGGAGACTGGAGACTAGAGACTACAGACTGGAGACTGGGACTGCTGACTGGAGACTGGAGACTGGAGATTGGTGACTGGAGACTACAGACTGGAGACTAGAGACTACAGACTGGAGAATGGAGACTGGGGACTGAGACTAGAGACTAGAGACTAGAGACTGGAGACTGGGGACTGGGGGACTGGGGACTGGGGACTGAGAGGGACTGAGACTGGAGACTGGAGACTAGAGACTACAGACTGGAGACTGGGGACTGCTGACTGGAGACTAGAGATTGGAGACTGGAGACTACAGACTGGAAACTAGAGACTGGAGACTGGAGACTGGATACTAGAGACTGGAGACTGGGGACTGGGGACTGGAGACTAGAGATTGGAGACTGGGACTGGGGACTGGAGACTAGAGATTGGAGACTAGAGACTGGAGACTAGAGACTGGAGACTGGAGATTGAGACTGGAGAGACTAGAGACTACAGACTGGAGACTGGAGACTGGAGACTGGAGACTGGAGATTGGAGACTGGAGACTGGAGACTGTAGACTACAGACTGGAGACTAGAGACTACAGACTGGAGACTGGAGACTGGAGACTGGAGATTGGAGATTGGAGACTGGAGACTGGAGACTAGAGACTACAGACTGGAGACTGGAGACTGGAGACTGGAGACTGGAGATTGGAGACTGGAGACTGAAGACTGGAGACTGGAGACTGGAGACTAGAGACTGGAGACTGGAGACTGGAGACTGGAGGAGACTAGAGACTGGAGACTAGAGACTAGAGACTGGAGACTAAGGACTAGAGACTGGAGACTGGAGATGGAGACTGGGAGACTGAAGACTGGAGACTAGAGACTACAGACTAGAGACTGGAGACTGTAGACTTTAGGTCTGCACACTATTGTTGGGCTTGATCTTCAAATCAAAATGTAAGTTAACCTCCTTGGCGGTATTCCCGAGTGTAGCTCGGGGTAACATTTCAGTACCAAAAGCGGTAACCCCGAGCTACACTCAGGCTTACCCTGCGGCACTGCTCCGGCATGTGTTCTTCACTTACCTTACCCTGCGCTCCCACGATGTGCCCCCCTGCAGCGTCCCCGGCCATCTCCTCCGGCCGATGCCGGCACCCGGCTTCTGTGTCCTGTCCCTGTGACGTCAGGACGTTACGGGCGCCGCCGCCGGCGGGCGGCGGGAAATTTTAAAATTTTAAAAAATGTCATTTTTTTCTTTTTTTACATTTTACATAGTAAAACATTGCTGTCTCAACCCATTTCACATACATATTGTCCCTAATGCTTTGTCCGGCGCCCTGCCTGCATTTTGTCTGTTCTTTCTGCCTGGAAACTGAGAAATGTCCATGGCGTCCAAAAAAGCGTCCCTTTAGGTCAATAGCAGTTTTAGACCGGCTAGAGAACAGCGATAGTAAATCAGAACCACTTGCAGAATTGAGTGATAATGATTCGTGGGGGAAATTCCTCATCAGACACTGAAAAACGATTCTGCGACTGAGCTCAGCGATGTGCGAACTTGGCTCTCTATTTCACATTTCAGTGTTTTTGGTTTGATTATATTATTGAATTAAATTTTTTATATATTTTTATATTATTTTTATGATTATTTATTAAATTATAATTTATGATTTTGTGTTTCAAATTTTAATCCTCCCCGGGATGTTTACTAGACTCTTGTTCGGACAGATTTCAGTGAGTTATTCCTAAAAATTACAGCCTACAATAAACAAAATACATATTTCCATGCAAAAAAATGGTACCGCTTTCAGCACCAAAAATCTGAAATAATCATACCGCCAGGGAGGTTAAACTCGACCATCTGCCATTAATAAGTGTAAGGGCTTTCAGCACAGGTCAGGTGCAATGTTTTGGCCAATCACAGTGCATGATGATGTCACGAGGAGGCAGGGTCACCTGGTTGACATCACCGGGTAGCCCTGCCCTTTAGATAATTAAGAACTGTCAGGCTGGCGCAGCTTTTAAACAGCGGCAGCCATCGTCGAGAGTGGAGCTTTTTTTTGGGGGGGGTGGGGGATGGCAGTGGCGGCGGGCATTGTGTTTGATGTTGGATCTACTTCGGTTGACATTCTTTTAATTTTTTTTTTTTTTTTTAATAAAGGACTTGTCCAACCTTAAATTTGTGTGTGCCTGTGCAATGGAGACAAAATTCAGTACCCTGTAATTTCCATAGGTGACACTTTGAAACCCCTTACAGGTCATCAGCTTAGTGTTACCGAGGAGTTCTGAAATGTTCCTCTCACTCCAGCGTGTGCGGCGATAAGTGACATGTGTATTGCAAACGCCGTTTTCATACATAGGCACCCCCAGCACATGATTTTACGTTCGTATATGTGGGTTTGGGGCCTCAAAAATTTGGGGGGGGATTTTATAAGCTTGGGTGTAAGTTTAATTTTTTACTATAATTTTTTTTGTACTTAACTTTTTTTTCTCATCACACGGGAAAAAAAATGTCCCATATGTGATGATCTTTTTTGGTGACAGGTTCTCTTTAATGAGACATCCAGGGTCTAAAAGTAGACCCTGGATGTCGGTGCTGGGGTTGTGTGGAAGTAGTTGAGTGGCAGCTGCTTGTCAGATTTACATACAATCCCGGTGTGTGTAAATGCGCCACTGGAAAATGTGTGTTAAACCCTCCCCCCCCCATTTCCGTTGTCAGTTCAACATATGGACCTGGCAGTGAAGGGGTTAATATAGGACATACTATATATTAGTAATGCACCGAAATGAAAATTCTAGTGCCGAAGCCGACTCCGAAAATTCAGAATGCATGTGGCCGAAAACCGAACCGAAACTGAAATGTCTGCGTATGTGGGGGTGGGGGGAAGCTCCAAAAATTTTTTTTTTTGTCTACTTTCATGTAAATTTGTATCTATTTTTTTTAACATGATTTTATTGCTATCACAATAGTCCCCCTCTGTGATAGCATATGAGTGACAGGTCCTCTTTGTAGGGGGGAGGGGGTTGGGAGCAGTGTGTGCAAGGAGGGGGCAGCAGAGGAGCAGTGTATACAGCGAGAGAGCGTGTGTACAGACAGGTCCCTCATTTGTTGTCACTACATGTTGGTGCCGCTTTTTAAATGCAATTGCTGGCTTCTTCTTTTTTTCACCAGGAGCTGTCACTTTCCCCAGTGCTATAGGAAACTTTGTTTCTTTTATCTTGGGAAAGTAATTAAAAGGAAACATTGTTTCTTTCTTTTAGCTGGGGGGGGGGGGGGGAAGTGACAGCTAATTCTGAGAGCATTAGTGAAGAAAAAAAAAAGCCGGCAATTACATTTAAAAACCCGCACTGACCTATAGTGACAGCCAGGCACTGTATACACTGCTCCTCTCCTGTCTTTCTCAGCTGTCCCCCCCCCCCCCCCCCCCTTACATCTGCACTACACACAGTCTCTTGTATTGGCACCTGTATCGGCTAACATTTTTTCTATCGGCATTTTTTTTTATTTAACTATACCTAGTTACAGTCCTAGAAAGCACTATACATCTTACATAATACATCAGTTAATATTTTATAACAATTTATGTAGAACTCTCCATGTGTCCATACCTGTAAACAAATATGGGGGACAATAAAATCGGTGTAGTTTGGTGTCAGGTCAGAATCCTCCAACTGGGACATTATCCTGATCAAAGTCCTTAGTCAGCACCACTTCCTTATCCAAGGGGAGAAAATTACCTGGAAACCACAACAGACAAAAATGAGCAGATGGGTTACAGGAACTATATGACTGCTATTCACTACAAACGTCAGGCTTTGGGGTCAGTTTAGTAAAGAGTGATCACTAAAGCAAAGTCAATTGTCTCACTCATTTTAGTAAAGGAGGAGAAGTTAAATGAACAATTCACTGTGCTAAAAATACTCAACCATGTGAAAAAAAAAAAAAGAAAAAAAGCAGATTTTTGTTTACACATAACTGGATGGTTGAAGTCAGTGCAGATTTACTATATTCACCTCAGCTAAGTGCAAATTGTGGCTTGGTGAATGAGGTGAAGCTGTGATGTTTTCAGTCATCCAATCATGTGCAGGCAACTTTATTTTCAATGTATTCTTGTTTCATATTTTACTTTCCTTGAACATGATTGGGCTTTCTTTGCAAGGTCAATGTTTACTTAGTCTCTCCTTATTTACCAAGATAAGTGAACATTCACTTTGCTCCTTCAGTAAGTTACCCTCACCGTCATATTATCAGTTTTTTTTTAGTACAAGATTTTAGTTTATATCATAGTTTATCAGTCTTTGTTGTTGTTACTGTTTTTTTTTTACACCAAACTTCCAATTGGAAATGCTGTATGACATAAAAGACCACCTTTGATGTCAGAGGTTTTGTTGAAAATGTTTGAAGCTTTATGACTTTCTATTCAACACTACAAAGTGGCAGCAAAGTTAACTAGGTTTTCAGGCAACAGAATAAATAAAATATAAACATGTTTTCCCAAACATTGTTTCTCTTTCCAAGCAGGGGCAGACTCACAACTCATTGGGCCCCCGGGCAATAGGGGATCATGGGGCCCCTGTGTCCTTGCCCAAACTCAAAAAAGCCTATGATAAAGGTACCAGCGGCATCTCCTGGGGCCCCCTACTGACCCCGGGCCCTCGGGCAGTGCCCGAGTTTCCACATGGTCAGTCCGCCCCTGCTTCCAAGCATAGTAGGAAAAAAATTACCTAGTTGTGCATAAGCAACCATCTCCTCGTTTTTCCATCTTTTGTCCGAACCCTCTGTTGTCCACTATAGTGATGGTATCAGTAAGTTTATAGGAGTTTCTCCTCGTTGTGATAATGGTTCATCAGTTGATCCAGTTGTGGCACGGGTCTGGAATTCTTCTTCTCCAAGGGTATAGATACAGGAGTTAACAAAAGCCGATTTGCCATGACCGGCATAACCAAACAGCTGCAGGAGCACCCTGGTGTATGTCTGGTCCTCTGAGGAACCTTTTGGAAGATGAAAATCACGGATGAATTGCTTGTTGTCTACGGTGTCCATTGTCGGAGAATTTCCACGTCTCTGCTAAATTCTGTAAGTATATTCCACAGCAGGCTCTTTATACACCTTGTAAGAATTTACTTTCACATTCGATATGTAACAAAAGTGGTGGGAGTGTGCTTAAATGTTTTCACGCAATGTAGTTTTGTTTCTGCAGAAACATAACAAACTACCACAAATAGAAACTGTGTTCTGCCTTTATATGTTCTAAAGAAACATTAAATTTTTATTGGGGTTGATTTACTAAAACTGGAGAGTTCAGAATCTGGTGCAGCTCTGCATGGCAGCTAGTCAGCCTCTAACTTCAGCTTGTTCCATTAAAGTGGTTGTAAAGGCTGAAGGTTTTTTACCATTCTATGCAAGAAGGTAAAATACCTTCTGTGTAAAGCATCCCCCCAGACCCCCTAATACTCACCTAAGCTCCCTCTTGATCCAGCGATGTGCACTGGACTATCGGCTATTCCGGGACTCCTTCTTCTCACTGGCTGAGAGAGAAGGGAAGCCATTGGCTCCCACTGCTGTCAATCACAGCCAATAAGGCAATGAAAAGAGAGAGGGGTCGAGCCACAGCTCTGTGTGCCCCCATAACAAGCTGCTGCTTGCTCTGGGAGCATCCAACAGGAGGGAGGGGCCAGGAGCAGCGATGGGGGACCAACGAAAGAGGAGGATCTGGGCTGCTCTGTGCAAAACTACTGGACACAGCAGGTAAGCATGTTTGCTATTTTCTCTTTAAAAAAAAAGCCTTTAGAATCACTTTAAGCTTTGGCAATCAAACCTGGAAGCTGATTGGCTCCCATGCACAGCTGCACCAGATTTTGCACTTTCCAGTTTTAGTAAATCAACCCCTAAGTGTGGGATATTTTATAAAACAAGAGGATTGCAAAACATCTCCCTCTGACTATCACGGATACACTTCTGGATTCGGAAGGTAGATACCTGTTTCTAAAAGGCATTCTTGCCAATAGACCCATCACACTTGCAAATCTTTACGCTCCTAATACCAAGCAGGTTCCCTTCTTCCGCTCAATCTCTACCTCTCTCTCCTCCTTTCAGATAGGCATGCTGATCCTAGGGGAAACCTTAATGTCCCCTTATGCCCATTACTGGATTCCTCTTCAGGCAGTTCCTTTTTGCCGTACAAATCCTTAAGGCAGATTCGCGCACAACTCCAGGACTTACAACTCCATGGCGAGTCCTCCACCCAAATGTCAAAGACTACACATTCTTTTCTCCCCCGCACAACAAATATTCCAGAATAGACTACATTTTCATATCACAATTGGATCTCCCACTGCTCCATGATGCCTCCATTAAACCGATGGTTCTATCAGATCACCACCCCATAATCATGATGCTGCGATTCCCCGAAAAACACTCCAGCTCTAAGATCTGGCGATTGGACGTTTCCCTTCTATCTGACCTAGCAAACGAAGCCGAGGTCCCTTCCAAATTGATGGACTACTTTTCGACCAACCAAACTCCAGATACCTCCTCTCTAACGCAATGGAAGGCACATAAATGTGCCATCCGCGGAATCCTCATAGCTTTGGCCACGAAACGTAAACAGGACAGACAAGCGCGTTTACAACAATTTACAGACCAAATCCAATTTCTGGAAAAGATCCATAAACATACTCAAGCTGCTTCAACTCTGACTGAACTCACGAACACCCGTTCACAGCTCTTAACTGAACTGGGTGAGGTAGCCAAGCGTAGATATATTCTGACTCAGAAGCTATTTGATGAGTTTGCGAACAATAGCGGGAGATTCCTAGCCAGATCCCTCTGAGCAAAAAAGTTGAGCGTAACAGTCCACAAAATCAAGGGTTTTGGATGGCTCTTTCGCCACTTCAAATACTGACATCGCTTCTCATTTTGAGCAGTTTTAGAACACGCTATATAACCTCCCTCCTGAAAGCCCCCCACATGAAACCAACAAACCCAGAGCCACTCTGTTCTCTGACTTCCTTCATCTTTATAGCCCCTCTGCACTCCCTGAGGATACGACAAAGGCACTGGAACAAAATATCACGTCTGACGAGCTTTCATGGGCCGTCAAACAAATGAAGCCCGGTAAAAGCCCAGGCCCTGATGGGTTTTCTGTAGCCTGTTACAAAAATTTTTTCTAGACATCCTGAATGACCCTTTCCTCTCCACCTTTAACACCTTCTCTTCAACCCCTGCGCCACGCCATGGCCTCTTAGCAGCTCACATCACAGTTATACCCAAAGGTGGTAAGGACACTACACTGGTATCCAATTATAGGCCCATCTCCCTTCTGAACGTGGACGTAAAAATATATGCAAACATTCTTGCCAATCGTCTCCTTCCCTTACTCCCATCTTTGATTAACCTCATCCATTTGCTTCGCACATCAAACACTCCTGGGTTCTTTCTCTCTTTGGATGCTGAGAAGGCCTTTGACAGAGCGGCATGGGACTACCTGAAGGCGTCTCTGCAGATGATCGATCTGAGAAAAAACATGCTTAATTTCATCATGGCCCTCTATTCTAGCCCAACGCACACAGGTTCAGGTGAATGGCCATTTATCGAACCCCTTCCCTCCGGAAATGGTACGCTTCAAGGCTGTCCCCTCTCCCCGCTCCTCTTTGTATTATCGTTAGAACCTTTGCTACGTAAACTCCGTTCGAACGCCGATATCAAAGGCATTACCGCAGCAGCTCAAGAATACAAAATTGCTGCCTACACGGATGACATTTTATTGTTTCTATCGGATTCTCAGACCACCCTGCCCAATCTGCTTAAGGATTTTTCATTCTTTCAATTTATTTCAAACCTCAAAATTAACTAATCTAAGTCCTACGCCCTTAACATCACACTCTCTCTTCTGACCTGGTATCCTTTTGCCAGTCACAATTCCCATTTCGTTGGGAAGGTGAGGCCCTCACTTACCTGGGAATACAGCTCACATGTAACCTTAATGACCTATATGCCAAAAACTTTATCCCACCCCTCAGAGCCATTCAGGAAGATCTAACTAAGTGGCACCGTCCATGCTTTTCCTGGTTCGGGAGGGCTGCTATACAAAAAATTAACATTCTCCCTCCCCCCTCCTCTATCTTTTTAAAAACCTTACCTATCCAACTGCCCACCTTTTTCACTTCGTGTAAAAGAATGTGTTCATTGTTCCTTTGGAACTACAAGCGCCCGCGCATTTTGTTTTCCCAACTGGTTCTCCCCAAATCCAAAGGAGGGATTGTGCTCCCAGACCTACAACGATATCACTGGGCTTGCCATCTTTCCACAATCGCAGATTGGAATGCTCATCCGACCACCAAAGCTTGGGTGCAATTAGAAAAACTCTGTCTCCCCTTCCCCCTTAGCATCGATCCCCTGGCTTCTGGCGAAACATATTCCTCAGGCTCTCCTCACGCATCCACTGATTGGACCTACTATATAAAAATCTTCAGTTTGGCTTGCAAGTCGGAGTCCATTTCAGACACCCCTAACCCTTTAACTTCTCTCCGCTTAAACCCGTATTTCCCCCCAGACATACACAAGGCCTTTCTGTCCAAACATTGGCCACATAGTCAGATGAAAGCTGAACACTTTTTCCAAAAAGGCCAACTGAAATCCTACTCCTCTTTGGCGGGTATCATGAGGGACCACACCTTCCCCTTTTGGACTTCCCCTCAAATTAGGCACTTTCTTCAATCTCACGCACAGCGTCACAAATGGATTCACCCTCTCACCCCCTTTGAATCTATTTGCTCTAAAGCCGAACCCCAGAGGTGCTTAATCTCATTAGCATACCTCCTCCTAGTTGGCGATGGGAATCCTAACTCACTTCCCGCTTGCCGTGCTTGGAAGGGGACCTGAATATAAACTTTTCTTTCTCAGACTGGGACCAAATTTGTACATACTCCCACAAATGCTCGCTCAATGTTTTCAACGCAAGAAAATGGATACAAACTGGCCACCCGCTGGTATAATACCCCCTCTAGGATCCATCACTTTAATCCCTCTTTGCCCAACAAATGTTGGAGATGTGGAGCTCCTGAAGGGTCCCTTCTCCATATTTGGTGGTCTTGCCCAATTATACAGCCCTTCTGGCAGGAGGTTCACCGTATAACCTTGTCAGTATCCACTATACCTCTTGATTTTTCCCCAGCCCAATTTCTTCTCCACTATACCCCTCTTCCCAGATGTCTCTATTTCAAATCACTCGCAATGCACATAGCTCAACGCGGCTAGACTCTGTCTATCTGTTCTTTGGGGATCTACCCACCCCCCTTCAATACGTGATTGCCTTACTCACTTGGAAAGAATTGCGGAAATGGAGGAGCTGATTGCTTCATCACAAGATAACCCAACTAAATTTTCCCATATCTGGTCTTGCTGGATTCACTTCCAAAAGACCTCCGAATACCATTCCTTTATGGGCCTCTCCACTTGACTTTGTGCCAAACCCGCATTCCCACATTGCTTCCTTCATTGCATTGTCCCTTGAACTTTTTAAGGCTGTCGAGATATGCTTTCCTACCCCTTACGCTGGTAAGAGCGAGGCACCCTCATGTTTAATGCACCCGATTGTCTGACTCATGCTTTTACCCCCTTCGGAACTGATTATAATTGTTATGTCCCTAGAGCTTCCACACCTGTAGTATGCCTGTCTACCCCCCCCCCCCCATTTCCTTCCCTCTCCTCTGACCCCCCTTGTTTTTTTTTTTTTTTTTGTCTCCCCTCTCTGGCTCTCCATCCCTCATCCTCCCCTACCCCCCCCCCCCCCGACTATTTTATTATCCTTCCCTTTACCTTCCCTCTCCTCCTTTCTATTTTGCATGTCTTACCGT